CAGGGCTGGGGACACGCGAGGTACCAGTGGACCAGGCACCCGACGGGCTGGCGCTGTGTGCAGGCCTGAGCCTGGGCAGTGGCCTGGAAGATCGCGAATGGCTGTCCACTAACGTGTCAGAGGTCTCGTCAGGTCAGACTCACCATGGAACCCGGGATACAGGGCCGGTGGCCGGGACCCAGCACCCAGGGGTGTCAGTATCTGGTTTAAAGGGACAGACCAAAGGCAGAGGGCATGGCCTAGACCCATCCGAGGCCTACGGAAGGGAACCCAGGCTTGGGGGAGCCAGGCTGAACCAGAGAGAAAGAGGCCATTTCGGGGAGCGGGACCTCAGAAGAACGGGGAGGCCCTTGGAGGAGATCATATGCTCACAGCACCCAGAAGTCTGTCCTCCCCAGAGCCAGGATCAAAACCCACTCCCCAGCTGCCCTGAACAGGGGCCCAACCGTCTACACCCCATCCCTGCTTGCAAGCGACTTTCTGTTCTGCAGGCAGAAGGAGTTGGTCTTGACACGGGAGAGATCTCTGAGGTCTTCCCGTCCTCCGCCGGGAGGGTTAGGGAGAGAGGGGCGCCTCATTAAAGGTGCGTTCGCAAGGCTAGTGTGTGGGGGCAGGGCTTGCTCAGCTGCACTGGGATGGAGTGGGGTGGGGTGTGGCTAAGACACCTAAATGTCGCAGACCTCATGCACTGTCTGTGGCCTGCTGGGCATGGTTGGCTCTGCAAACCACACTTCTGTCAGAAAACTGCTCGCCGAGCAGAGAACCGGAACACACCAGCGTCTCGTCTTCATAGCCGTTTTAGACCAGCGGTTCTTGACCAGAGGCGACTTTGCCTCCAGGAGACCTTTGTGTCTGGAGACATTTTTGGCCGTCACAGGTCAGGGGTGCTCCTATCTAGTGGGGGAGAGGCCAGGATGTCGCTACGATTCCTACAGTGATCGGAACGGCCCCACCACAGAACCGTCCAGCAGCGTCACGCCTGAGAGCCTGCGGCCCAGACGACCTGCACCTGCCTGGCGGAAGCAGGATGTCCTCCTCCGCCCGGGGCTGCATGGTCACCCGCAAATATTTTCTCATCTGTGCTTATTTCTAAGCTTCGTGAGAACCGCCATTTTTTTAATACTTTTTTTTTTTTTTTCCCCAAACGAGTTTTCATGCAGAATACCTTGACTGAGGCTGCTCTCCGGAGCACATTCTGCAAACCGCCTCCCATAATCTCACCTGGGCAGCCCCGGAAGGGCAGACTCACTCCCCAAAGCCACTCTCGGGGCCAGAACCCTCTACAGGGGAAGCAGGGGTCTGGGGCGGAAGCAAGATGATGCTCCTCCCTTTGCTCCCTTCATGGAGGGACGTGACCTTGACTTATAAAAGTGGAAGGAAAAAGCTGGCCCGCCTCCATCTGCACTCGATGGCCATTAATAGAAGCTCGATTTACGTCAGCTCACAGACAGGAGCCGGGGGTTTTTCGTGCTCTGTGCTGTGGGGCATTCGCTTTTTCTTCTAACAAGACCGGCGTGGTTTTCATTTTTGATTATTTAGTGTGTGCACCTAGCCTGCCAATAACGAGTGGTCTATCACTCAATTTAAAGTTCCTCAAGTGTTTCAGGACGTCTGAATGATGAGATGGCACACTTGGCATTCGATGAAGTGACAACAAGGCCACCCTTGGGACTGGAAGCTGAGCCAAGCTGAGGCCGGGCTGCGATGCAGAGCCTCCTTCTGTCACTAAAGGGAGGAAGCCCGGGACGGCGGGGCTGCTGCCTGGCACGGCTTAGAGGCCCCGTCTCCACGCTCGGCCTCTGCGATACCTGGCAGCCTGGAGGTTCGAGTCCCAAGCCCAGAGGTCCAGAATATCCCACCTGAGGTGGGACCCAGGGACCTGATGCTGAACAAGCAACCCACCTGTCAAGGGCTGAGTCGTGTCCTCCGAAAAGATATGTTCAAGCCCAAACCCCCAGGTCCTGTGAATGGGACCTTATTTGGAGACACGGTCTTGGCAGATGTGCCCCAACACCCCACACTGGGTCAGGGTGGGCCCTAACAAGAAGAGACATGCACACACATGCAGACCACGTGGAGACGGCGGGGTGGAGACAGAGAGCTGGGCGAGAAGGGGGGACACCTTCTCCCTCGGGGCCTCCTGAGGGAGCCACCCTGCTGACGGACTCCTGGCCTCAAGGACAAAGGGAGAATGACTGTCAGCTGTTTTAACCGGTTTGCGGTGTGGTGCGCAGTGCTTCGCTGAGGCAGCCACAGCACGTGAACGCAGCATCCCCCAAAGGCGTCTTGCGAAATGGTCCAGGACCTCCCTGGGAAACCCCAAAGGGGCTGCGGGAACAAACGGAGGACGGCCTGTCAGGTTCCTTGGCTTGCTCTCAGGGGCGCACACTAGTTTAAGCCGTCTTTCAACCAGGTACCCCCACTCTGAATGAGAAACGCCGTCAGATGCTCACAGCAGCCCCACGGGACACTCTGGCTCCCAGGTCACCCCATCCCCTCATCACGCCCCTCCTATGCGTCCCCCTTTATGCGTCACCTGCCAGCCTGTCCAGTCCTGACATCCTCCCACCACGCCCTCTGGGACAGAGGCTCGGTGGGCCCCCAAGTCCCCGTAACCCTCAGCATCTCACCTACCGCCCACAGTGGAGACGGGCCCCCTGCCCAGGGCGCTGGCTGTCTCGGGGTGCAGGCACCCCAGCCTCCCTGGCCGTGGTCTGGGACGACGGGTGTGCGTATCCTCTCGACGTTCCTGGAACGTCCTCCGTCCTCCGTCCCTAAACACCAGCCCTGAACCTCACGTCTTCAGACACCTCCCCGCCCCCCCGGCCGGGTCACAATCTCCGAGAAACGCCGTCGCTTCTGGGAGAGTCTCGCCCCCGGCTGCCACCGCAGTCGCGTGCTGCTAAGGACCTTTAGGTCGACCGACGACAGACAGCGTGTATGGCACGGTCCCACGAGGTTATAACAGCAGAAAGACTCCCATCGCCCGGTGACGTCGCGGCTGCCATCCCGTCACGGCGCGATGCGTCACGCACGTGTCGGCAGTGACGCAGGTGTGGCAGGCCCCCTGCCCTGCCAGCCGTGTGGAAGTGAGGGGCAGTACGTGATGTTCGATGGCGACGGTAAGTCGCCGTGTTGCCGGCTTACGGATTTACGACGCTGTGCTAGTTATCGTTATTTTCGGGTGCACTCTTTCTACTTCTAAAAAGAAAGCGTTCGCTGCGGAACAGTGGCCGTGTTCGGCGTCTGCGGCCTCGTGCACCCCGTGCCGGCCTCGTTTTCTCTTGCGCTCGCTCGTGTCGCGCGCTGTTTCGTGCGGTCGCGGGCCGTGCAGGTGTGCAGCTCAGGAGCAGCGGGCGGCACCGGGCAGCCCAGGTGTGCAGCAGGCTGCACCATGCCGGTTCGTGCATATGCCCCTACGACGCTCACACGACAAAATCGCCTCGTGAGGCGATTCTCAGAACGCTTCCCCGTCGTTAAGTGACACGCAACTGTCCTCCCCATGCGGCAGCTGCCACGGTTCTTGGGGATCTCAGACGACACCAATGATCGCTCCCGCGTGGGGGCTCTTCACTCTCTCGATCTTCAGCATCGTTCACCCGACTTCTCGCTCCCACTGAAGTCGGTTCCGCTGCACTGGATCCCACTGCACTGGATCCCACTGCACTGGATCCCAGGGGGTCAGGCCGCAACCTCGGGGGCACCTCCCACGCCTCCATCTGCCCTGCCCACTGCCGGCCGTCAGCAGGTGCAGCTGGCCTGACCTGCGGACCGTGTCCCTGCCACCTCTCTGCCTGGCGCCGTCTCTCCTCTAGATCCCGGAATCCCCTGAGGCTCTCTGGGCTTCTGTCCTCGACCCCCTGGTGTCTCCTCCCAAAGCAGCTCCGAAAGGACCCCACACGCAGCTCCGAAAGGACCCCACAAATCTCTGGGCTTCTATCCTCGACCCCCTCCTGTCTCCTCCCAAAGCAGCTCCGAAAGGACCCCACAAAGGCTAAATCAGATCCTGTCTTCGGTGTAAGCCCTCCCACAGCTACGCCCACGGGCCCGCCCCGCCCCTCGGGCCTCCCCCAACGCCCCCGCCCTTGCTTCGGGCCCCGTCCAGGCACGGCCTGCGCTACGTGTCTTTGCTTGGGTGTCCCTTTCTCAGGGACGACTCCCCAGTAAACGCGGCCCTCTGTCCCCACCGCCCCCCCGTCCGTGTCCCCGCTCCCTGCTCTTTTTCGCATGCCAGCGTACCGTAGACGGCACTCGATTTCACCATCACCTCGCGTCCCCTCAGCGACGCGAGGACAGGCGTCTTTGTCTTTGTCTATATGCACCTCGCTTATAGTCCTGGGACCCAAGAGCAGGGCCTGCACCCAGCAGCTCCAGCCAGCTTGCTGAGCGAGTGAGCGAATGAATGAATGAATGAATGAACGCTTTGCCAGCCGGTCTCAGGATTTTCGTTAGCAGGACTCCCTCAGCAAGAGCCTGAGCGAGGAGGGGCCTGAGATCGAGGCGCCCTGCCCTGCCCTGCCCTGCCTGGGTCCTTCCCCAACGCCCGGCGCCCTGCCCTGCCCTGCCCGGGTCCTTCCCCGACGCCCGGCGGCCTGCCTGGCTCTCTGCTCTC